TTTTTTTTTATATATATATATCAAACGTGTCTTACATCCTTTTTTGTTGGTTTATTTATTAGGCTACACCAGACATGGCAGTAACTCTTCAGGAAATTGCGAGAATATTTGCAACTAAAGTTCCAGGAATGATCGATGCTGCTGTACTGCAACTTCTTTGGAAAGTATGTTCCAAGATCGCAAATTCTGAGTTGTTACTTAAATCTATATTTTTACTTATTTGCCTAATTGTTGTATGTTGTTACTTAAATCTATATTTTTACTTATTTGGCTAATTGTTGTATGTTCACTAGACTTGTTTGGTTGGAGCGGGGCCTGAAGGAAAGCATACAGCTCTAGAAGCTGTCACAATAGTTCTTGATTTACCTCAATTCTGGGACTGACCTCAATTTATCGGGTGTCTGCATCTGATCAAAAGTTAGCTCTTGCTTTGCAGAGATTAGTTCAAGCAGCAGTATGTAATTATGCTAATTTAATATGGCTTTGCATGCATGGATCAAAATATGTACCAGTGCCATAAGCATCAAAAGTATGAATTACTATCTTTTAGTAAATTCACGAGTTACTATTCCAATTTGTGCCCTTATAGTTTCTAAATACATATAGGTCTGGTTCCTTGGAGAAAATGCAAATTATGCTGCGTCTGATTATGTCTGGGAGTCGGTTACACGACCCGGTACCGCGTTAATGATCTTGGACACAGATAAAATGGTTCTTGCAGCCAGCTCTCGTAATCCTACTCTCTGGTGCACTGACTCGACTCCAAAGGTGTGCTTTCAGCAGCAGCTGCGAGGTGTGTATTTCAGCTTTGCCTTTTCTTCCACGTCTTTGCTCAAGTTGAGAAATGGTTGTTGTTTGAACTTTGAACTACTAGACCCAGTAATTATGATATATGATTTATGAGATGCTTCATGGAATAATTTTACCGCTGGTTATTAGAAAGTTAAAGCCATAGGCAACCTAAGCATACTAATTCTTATGATGAAACGACGTAAGGATTTATTGGAATGAACGAAAGATTAGTGGTCAGTGGGCAGTGACACAGATGAGAACATTTTGGCCACTTCTCTGAATCTGGATTTTAATAAGCTGAGCCCCACAAAAATAAAAAATGAGGAGTAAGTTACTTATCCTTCTTTCCTCCACTCTTCCAACCACCATGAACTAAAAACGCACCCAAACCATCTTACTTTATTGCATGAGATTATCAGTTTATTAAATAAAATTTTTGAAACGAAATCCTATTTTTCTTTTTCATTCATTCAAAAAGAATTTTTCTACATACATAACTGAGTAGCTGATTCTACATGTATTTAATTCTATGTTTTTACAGAGTATTAATTGAAATTGCTTTATTTCAGGATGCGAAAAATTCCGAGCTGAATGAATGTCGCGATGCGGCGAGAACTGCCGTAGAAAAACTCCGAATCCCCCCTTTCCCATCATACTCTGAGTTTTGTGTGCAGTGGACTCACTCTTTTCCTCCTAATCCAGAGGAAATTTTCGTAGCAAAAAATTGCTATCCAAGTTTATAATTTGTGTTCTCTCTCTTTTTTTTAGTTACTAGTGGGTTTGAGAGAACGCTGCTTACACTGCTTAGATTGTGGCCCAACTTAATGAATATCTTATGCCTAAGTCCTGCTATGCTTTTTGGAGGAGAATTGTACGGAAGCACGGAAACACGTGGGGTATCGACTCGGACAAATAAGTTGCACTAGCTTTGCAATTGTGCATAGCTCTACTTCAGAGTAAATATTCTTTCAGACTTAATTTCTTTCTTTGTTTGTTAATTTTTCGTTTGTGATTTAAGTTGTCAAATAATTGGTGCGTATTTTTTAGACATGGGTCTTCCTTGTAATGTGAGGTTGTCTTCTATCTTTGTCATTAATACTGTCATGTTGTACTCGGAGTTCATTGAGCTAGACGGATATTTGAAGGGGTCAGCGGTTGTAGTTGAAGTCCATCTCATGAAACTAAAAGGACTTATTCTACATCAACCAACTTCTGTTCAGAGTAAAAAATGATTTTACAACCCTTCTAAATTGTGACTCTTATTTCATCGGAAAAAATATCCCATCCGGAAGTAGTTCAATTATACTTCCTGGACCAAACTTCGTTTTGTCTAATATTTCCAGGTATAATACTTGCTATAATATTTGCTGACTTCATAATGTTAATTGAGTTAATTGTTTTGCTTTTTTGATCCCATAATTTATATTGATTCGTGTTTATTTGATTTTTTTCAGCAAAAGTGAGCTGACTGAGCTTCCTGATGGTATTCCTACAGTCTTTCTATTGCTCTAGAGAGAGCTGTATACTCGGAATGGGCTACGAGTAAGCAACAATTCTTTTTTTTTTTTTTTTCTATATTTTAAAGGATGTTCAAAATATTTGATAGGTCTAATTCACAGGTGAAAGGGATTTTTCGTGAGGTTCCAATTGTACGACATGAGAATTTAATCCGTCGGCAATTGAATGAACGACATCTTGCTAAAGATGTTGATGTGCATACAATCGCACAACTCATTAAGGTAAGTTGAAAAATGTTTTCTTTTCCACAATGACTAGATATCTACTCAAAATTGTCAATGTTATACATTTATTTGTAATTTTTACCCTTCATAATGACAAGACAGGAACAAGTTTAACCTTAATATTTACTTTCATTCTCTCAATGATAATTCGCCCGCCTTTTTTCTCTTTATCTCATCTTCACCTTCCTCCTCCTACGATTGATTTGAAATCCTTTATGTGAATTTGCAGTCATGGTTTATGGATCACCAAATATTGGATGATATTCCTCCTGAAAGTTTCATCGATTTTGAGTTGCGTGGAAACGTTGATGCCCTACTCCAATGTCTGCCACCTTTGGAGCTGTGTCATTTGGAATGGCCATTCAAGTGATTGTTAGACGTGTTGAAACAAAAGGAGCACAATGAAATGTGCCCAAATTCGATTTCAATTGCTTTTGCAGCTACCTTACTAAGGTGAGGAATCTATTAGACTGAAACCTACACCTTTTCAATATTTTTTTCACCATACCAACTCACTTTCTTGTGTTGTGGATCTATTTTGATAGAAATCCGGTGAAGTATATCGTTGGTGTCAAAGAGTTTATCAAAATTCTGGTGCTAAGGAGGTCGAGATCGGGTTGATATGTGAATTGAAATGAGATTGTTGATTTGAAAAAGCTGTATGAAATACTTCACTTTACTTATATTGTGTCTGTGAGAAGGAAAATTGGATCGTGTTAATTTGTATGAGATACTTAACAACTTACTTGGATTGTGTTAATTTGTATGAAATACTTAACAACTTACTTAATTTGTATGAAATACTTCACATTACCCATATTGTAAAGTGAAGTATTTCATACAGTTTTTTCAAATATCAACAATCTCATTTCAATTCACATATCAACTCGATCTCGACCTCCTTAGCACAAGAATTTTGATAAATTCTTTGACACCAACGATATCCTTCACCGGATTTCTATCAAAATAGATCCGCAACACAAGAAAATGAGTTGGAATAGTGAAAAAAATATTGAAAAAGTGTAGGTTTCAGTCTAATAGATTCCTCACCTTAGTAAAGGTAGCTGCAAAAGCAATTGAATTTGGCCACATTTCGTTGTGCTCCTTTTGTTCCAACATGTCTAACATCAACTAGATGACCCATTCCAAAAGACATAGCTCCAAAGGTGGCAGTCACTGGAGTAGGGCATCAACGTTTCCACGCAACTCAAAATTGATAAAACTTTCAGAAGGAATATCATTCAATATTTGGTGATCCATAAACCACGACTGCAAATTCAAATAAAGGATTTCAAATTAATCGTAGGAGGAGGAAGTTAAAGATGAGATAAAGAGAAAAAAGGCGGGCAAATTATCATTGAGAGAATGAAAGTAAATATTAGGGTTAAACTTGTTCCTGTCTTGTAATTATGAAGGGTAAAAAGGGAAAATTACATATAAATGTATAACATTGACAATTCTGAGTAGATGTCTAGTCATTGTGGAAAAGAAAACATTTTAAAGCTTACCTTAATGAGTTGTGCGATTGTATGCACATCAACATCTTTAGCAAGATGCCCTTCATTCAATTGCCGGCGGATTAAATCCTCATGTTGTACAATTGGAACCTCACGAAAAATCCATTTGACCTGTGAATTAGACCTATCAAATATTTTGAACATCCATTAAAATAGAAAATTGTTGCTTAATCGTAGCCCATTCCGAGTATACAACTCTTTCTGGAGCAATAGGACTGTAGGAATACCATCAGGAAGCTCACCAGCAAATGCTATGCTGAAAAAAATCAAATAATACACGAATCAATAATCACAAAATATGGGATCAAAAAAGCAAAACAATTAACTCAATTAACATTATGAAGTCAGCAAGTATTGTACCTAGAAATATTAGACAAAATGAAGTTTGGTCCAGGAAGTATAATTGAACTACTTCTGGATGAGATATTCTTTCCGATGAAATAAGAGTCACAATTTAGAAGGGTTGTAAAATCATTTTTTACTCTGAACAGAAGTTGCTTGATTTAGAACAAGTCCTTTAGTTTCATGAGATGGACTTCAACTACAACCGCTGACTCCTTCAACAAATATTCGTCTAGCTCAATGAACTCCGAGTACAACGTGACAGTATTAATGACAAAGATAGAAGACAACCTCACATTACAAAGAAGACCCATGTCTGAAAAATACGCACCAATTATTTGAAAACTTAAATCACAAACGAAAAATTAACAAACAAAGAAAGAAATTAAGTCTGAAAGAATATTTACTCTGAGGTAGAGCTATGCACAGTTGCAAAGCTAGTGCAACATATTTGCCCGAGTCGATTACTCACGTGTTTCCGTGCTTTAGGAAAATTTTCCTCCAAAAATCATAGAAGGACTTGAGGCATAGGATATTCATTAAGTTGGGCCACAATCTAAGCAGTGTTCTCTCAAACCCCACTAGTAACTAAAAAAAAAAAGAGAGAACACATTATGAACATGGATAACAATTTTTGGCTACGAAAATTTCCTCTGGATTAGGAGGAAAAGAGTGAGTTCACTGCACACAAAACTCAGAGTATGATGGGAAAGGGGGGATTCGGAGTTTTTCTATGACAGTTCTCGCCGCATCGCGACATTCATTCAGCTCGGAATTTTTCGCATCCTGAAATAAAGCAATTTCAATTAATACTATGTAAAATCATATAATTAAATACATGTAGAATCAGCTACTCCATTAGTTATGTATGTAGAAAAATTCTTTTTGAATGAATGAAAAAGAAAAATAAGATTTCATTTCAAAAATTTTATTTAATAAACTGATAATTCATGCAATAAAGTAAGATGGTTTGAGTGCGTTTTTAGTTCTCGGTGGTTGGAAGAGTGAAGGAAAGAAGGATACATAACTTACTCCTCATTTTTTATTTTTGTGGGGTTGAGCTTATTGAAATCTAGATTCAGAGAAGTCGCCAAAATGTTCTCATCTGTGTCACTGCCTACTGACCACTAATCTTTCGTTCATTCCAATAAATCCTTACGTCGTTTCATCATAAGAATTAGTATGCTTAGGTTGCCTATGGCTTTATCTTTCTAATAACCAGCGGTAAAATTATTCCATGAAGCATCTAATAATTCATATATCATAATTACTTGGGCTAGTAGTTCAAAGTTCAAACAACAACCATTTCTCAACTTGAGCAATGACGCGGAAGAAAAGGCAAAGTTGAAATACACACCTCGCAGCTGCTGTTGAAAGCGCACCTTTGGAGTCGAGTCAGTGCACCAGATAGAGTAGGATTACGAGAGCTGGCTGCAGCAACCATTTTATCTGTGTCCAAGATCATTAACGCGGTACCGGGTCGTGTAGTCGACTCCCAGGCATAATCAGACGCAACATAATTTGCATTTTCTCCAAGGAACCAGACATATATGTATTTAGAAACTATAAGGGCACAAATTGGAATAGTAACTCATGAATTTACTAAAAGATAATATTTTGATCCGTGCATGCAAAGCCATATTAAATTAGCATAATTACTTACTGCTGCTTGAACTAATCTCTGTAAAGCAAGAGCTAACTTCTGATCAGATGCAGACACCCGATAAATTGAGGTCAGTCCCAGGATTGAGCCAGGTTGAGGAGGCGGTAAATCAAGAACTATTGTGACAGCTTCTAGAGATGTATGCTTTCCTTCAGGCCCCGCTCCAACCAAACAAGTCTAGTGAACATACAACAATTAGGCAAATAAGTAAAAATATAGATTTAAGTAACAACATACAACAATTAGGCAAATAAGTAAAAATATAGATTTAAGTAACAACTCGAATTTGGGATCTTGGAACATACTTTTCAAAAAAGTTGCAGTACAACAACATCGATCATTCCTGGAACTTTAGTTGCAAATATTCTAGCAATTTCCTGAAGAGTTACTGCCATGTCTGGTGTAGCCTAATAAATAAACCAACAAAAAAGGATGTAAGATACGTTTGATATACTGAAAAGAGAAAAAAAAAATATATCACCCAAGTTAAGACTTAAGAATAACAATGAGAAAGCAAGTTTAAATTATAGATTTGACTCATTTTACCCAGAAAACAACACCAAGAAATCTGTGTCCAAAAAGATTAACGGAACATTGTTTGCCCCATGTGTACCTTAAAACGAGTATGCAATGTGAGCAACACATCATTGAGCAGCACAATTGCTAGCCAAGAAGGATCTCAGAGCTTGGATGCAATGATGGAATCGAATTCATCAAATGATTCATGTGGACTTTGCATCCATATCAGCGTTTTGATCACAATCGCACGCACATAAACACATATTCACATGCAGCAGTTATATGGGCGGGCCTTAGTAATGGCACCACAAGCATGCACTGTAAGCTATGTGTAAGTCATAACAGAATATGCCATTAGATATTATCTAAAACAGTAGAAAGGACTCATAACAGACAATGTAAACAACATCGTCAAGAACAAATTGTAAAGATAATTGAGCATTTGATTCATTACTCCAAAGAAGAAAAGGAATCATACAAACACGCGTCGTGGTTTAGTCACACATGCATTAGAATCATTTTATCCTATTATAATCACCAGTCAGATACATTTATGAAACGCTATGATGGAAATAAAAACTAAAGAAGTTACAATCAACACACTACCTTCAGATGGTGAAGTTGGATTTATATCTGCATCATACGAGTCAATGCTTTCAGAAAAAATTATTAACTTCTATTCCTTCATCAATATACTGCCCTAAGTCAAAGGTGGCAGCATGGGTTTTTCCTATCTCCTGTACAACTCTTGCCGCTGCATGCAATATAGGCCGTGAAAGCTTCTGAAAGTACTTTCTAACCTGTACGGGAAAAATAAAAAAGAGACGTTAAAATTACATCCAGAAATCAATACAATATACCCTTATGACGTAAAAACAAGTGCAAAGCATGTTATCAATTAGTCTACATTAAAGCATATAGATCTAGGCGAGCTTAAAAAATTGAAACAGGAAAATAACCTCCGCAGGACTAGCTTGATCAGAGGCTGTGGATGCCTTGTCTTAGAAGACTTATTTATATTGGCCTTTGCCGGAACTGAATCTTTATCCTCAGAAGTCAAGTCCTTCAGAGAAGATGAATTAGGAAGTTTCAGAACTTCTTTGCTTAAACAATACCATCCAGCAGTTCTTACTTCAGTCCTAGATAAAGCAAGAGAATAGGTGTAATTCAAAGGTATAAGATGGAGAAGACAACTTTTATCGGTTGTACCACTTCATCAGAAGCAATGTAACAGACAGGGAATGCAATGTTTATCTCTCTAAGTTATCAAATTTACCCACTACACAAAATATCGCCTCCAAGCAAACTCTTTCACTGGGATCTAGGAGA